TTTTTTTTTATAAATAACGACCAAGTCGATTCAATTAATATTTATGTTTAGTTTCAGACTGAATTAAAAACAGCAATGAAAATAATTGGCGATGAATGTGTATATTAAGAAATCTTTTATTATGAGAGTGGGATCAATTTCGAAAATTTTGACATGTGGTGGAAATACTTACGAGTATTTCTACGCGTCATCCTTTAGTACATCATAAGTAAATAATTTGTCGAAGCCTATGAGGAGAATATCCTACCAGCTAATGACAGAATTGAATCGATTTCTATTTTAAAATTCATTAATAACAAATATATTTTTTTTGTAGATATTCAAAATAATACGTTCCAGATAAAAATACTGGAAATGTGAAAAATATATTTATTATGAAAAATAAACAGGTAACTGATGCAACTGATTGTTCAGAACCTCAGTTGATAACAAAAACAAGTAGTAATAGAGTTGCAGCATGGCATGCTCAACGAAATGCAAGGGAAAGTGAAGCATCACACTTAATATGGTTGGATAGAGAAAGTGGTGCAAGAACTGCACAAAGAAAAAAGCGTAGTCGACTAATATCAATAACAGAACATTGTAGCTCTTTTGAAAATAATGTTGATAAAAACAAAAATGAAACAGGTAATAAAGAAATGAATGAAGTTCGAGAAAAAACTGTAGGCAAGCTGGATAATCAATCAAGACAAAAGAATAAATTACGAAAGGTTCGAAGCTTAGAAGAAAGACAAGAACAACGTAAAACGACATTGTATTATGAAGTGTTTTATAGACTTTCTGATTGGTGTAGTCGAGAGTTGCTAGTAGGAATTGATTTTTCAATTTATTGAAATCAAAAATACAAAAATAATGATCGTATTTATATATAGGTAAATGAACAAAAGGCTAGCATTGGACCAGATTATGAAAAAAAACATCAAAATATCGTTCGACGAGTTCGAAGTTTGGTTGAACGAGAAGCAAAATTTGAGAATAATATGAATCACGAAGCATTTAGTATGTCAATTCAACGATGTAATCGAAATTTAGTAGAAACTGAAGGTAGTCGGTTAATAAGAGTAGAAAAACAAGCTGAATTAAAGGTGAATACAAGATTAATTAAAGATCGATTAGAAACTCGTGAAGAACATATACAACGTTTACAACTTAACAATGAGTACGAATCAATGAGATCGCTTAAGCGATGCCAAAGCGAAATTGAAAATGAAAAAATATCTCTAAAATTACATAAAAGAAATCATGATCAATCGTAAGA